AGGAAACAAAGTAAGTATTCTTCAGTGGTTTGTTAAGTTAAATACACTGGTAGTACTATATTTAGATAAGAAAAGTTAACAAATAAAACAATATTTAATAAAAGATGGAGCTATGTATCTAGAGAGAGAGATTTTTTGAAAGATACATAGCTCCATCTTTTATTAAATATTGTTTTATTTGTTCACTTTTCTTATCTAAATATAGTACTACCAGTGTATTTAACTTAACAAACCACTAAAGAATAGTTTTTTGCTAAAACAATCAACCTTTTTGTTTGTTTTCTTTAGTAAGTAAAACATTTCCTTTCATTCATTGTCATACCAAGTCTTGTCTCTTTCAACTTGCAACAAATAACTACACCCATTCTTCCACACAACAGGTCTATATATCTGTTACTGTTGCAGAGATCTAATAACTATAATCTTGATTTATCCTTTAAAAGTCATAGTCTACAGCTTACTTCTATTTTCTCTGCAATGTGGTAAAATTAATGGCAGAGAGGAGGATAGCTGAATGGATCTGAACATCAAATCAGAGGAATCTCTGCTACCTCAGAGAAGCCCTCTGTTGAATGCTGAGGATTCCTCCAGCCATTTGGCAGGCATTCCTGAATTTGATAGAAAGTTCTACCACTCATATAATTAACCATTCTTTTGTTTGTCTTTAGTCAATAAAGTGTTAGTTTTCACTCTTCTTTGCATCATGTTTTGCCTCTTTCTTTCTACCTACACCAAATTGCTACACCTCTCCTCCCACATACTAGGCCTGTGAAAATTAAGATCCTTTAAAATCTAAATTGTAAATGATCATTACAAAGGGTATGGTTGGTTTGCCTTAAATGTAGTATAATCATTGTGGCTTTAAGTTTTCCTGTCAATTTCTTCTGTTTTATACTAACTGTATATGCTTTTGTTCTTATTACAGATCAGTACAGCAGAGATGAGGATAAAATGTCTATAAATGGCTCAAATAAATCATGCGATGATCTGCCAGATGAGAAGGAATCATCAAAAAATGTACAAACTTTGCAGGATAAACATTTTAACAGGTTAACAGATAGTTCAATACCTGGAGAAAAAAATATTGTGCAAGAAGATTATTTACTGACTTCACCAACAACAAATGTTAACAGGTTAACAGATAGTTCAATACATGGAGAAAAAAATATTGTGCAAGAAGATTATTTGATCTGTTAACCTGTTAACACTTGTTGTTGGTGAAGTCAGGGTTCAATACATGGTGAAAAAAATATTGTGCAAGAAGATTATTTACTGACTTCACCAACAACAAGTGAGAGAGAAATGAAGAAAGAGATGGGTGACCCATATATATTAATGGCTTCATTTGATGCAGAAGATTCACAAGACACATCATCATCTAACTGCATATTGGCTGAATTTTCAGATAGTGAAGATTCCAGTGGATCACTTCAAGAAAGAGGTTTGCATTCTTTACATTCTAATGAAGATGGTATTATCAAACAAACACCTCTCATCAAAAGCAAAAGATATTCAAGTGTCCAACCTGATCAGAACTCTTTTCAGCTTTATAATGAAATCCCAAAAAAAGAAGATTCAATCCATTTGTGTATAAAAAAACACGAAACAGTACAATCTTCACAATTTGCCACTCAATCTAACACCTTAGTACTTAAAACAAACCATTCCGTACATGATACTTCAGCTTCTGATTTTACACATAATAGTACTTTTTTCTCTCAGAAAAAACATTCCTATCAAACTAGAAAACAGAGTGAAAATCACATGGAACAAGATACCTCACACTCAGTGACCAGAAGACTCAGTGCAAGCCAGCCTGTGCAGGACACTGACTGTTTTGAGATTGAACAGTGCACAGTAATCCAACCTGCGAAATATTTGACATTTTTAGAAATGGAAGGAAATGAAACACATTCTCTACCATGTGATGTTTCTTGTGAACCCATAAATGGACAAAGAAAAAAACTTATTGTAGAAGATCTCTCTCTCTCTTCAACTGGAACACAAAGGAGACTCCAGTCTTTGGAAGAGCCATACATATTTCCTACCAAAAAATGTGTTGAAAACCAAAAAGATGACTTATCGACCTTTTTTCCTACAGAATGTGCTAGAAAACATCCTACAAAAGAATTAACTTTTTCACATTCCAGAAGACAGAATAAAACAGTGCAGAATTTTGATATTTCTCAAACTAGTAAACATAAAATTAAGGAGATTATGAATGTTACACCCCATTCAGAGGCCTTGCAGAGTCAGCATGAGACAACAGAGATATTCATTACTGAAGGTATTTCAGATGAGAATGTTGCATATCGGAATACAAGTTTGTCTGAGTCTGATTCCTGTCATTATGAACTCGATGAAGAAATGCCTTACCATACTTCAGGTACATGTTTGACTAAGACAGAATATCTTTCACAACAATGTAGTTTCAATGATAGTAACTTGACAAAAAATACAAATATTAATACCCAGGAAAATAAGCTTAACATTTTATCTAAAAATATTAACTCATCCAAATTATTTAATGAAGATAACATAGAGGAAAATCAGAGCAATCCATATAGCCCAAGAACTTCACCTTTATCAGTTCCAAGAAGAGTAAAGCTGTCAACTGCTATCTCAACTAATTTTACTGGACACCAGAATGAGGATGAAAAGCAAACCAGTGACATAGTAGGTCACTTCTGTTGGAATAATGAAGACAATGTCATAAACAGCCCCTTCAACAGATTTTGGGATGATGGATTCACTGAAACTGTTGACCTAAATTCTACAGTAATAAAACAGCAACAAACAAACAATGGAGTCACAGTAAGTAATCATTTGTTTATTTTTCTTTATGGCAGAGGGATATTCCCTCCTAAGTTAACCCTCCTAGATTTTTTTGCAAATTTGAGGCTTTTTTTATGTGAAAAGGCTAGGTGCCCTTAAAACTACAGACCTGTTTATAGAAATACTGAACATTTGGCATTCAAATACACCATGCCACCAAATAAAATCTTTCCCAGAAAGAAAACCCCTAATGATGTTTCTTGTTACTTTACTGACATAGAGGAAGAAATGTTTTAGCTGCAGAATTAAGATGATAAAATGTCATGTATTTCTCATAGTTTAAATAGGTTTGTAAAAATTGCTGCAAAGTCAGTTAGAAAAAGATAAGGAGGTTGAAGTGCAGAAATGATTGATATATTATTAGGTCGTCAAGAAATTAATGTTGCTTTTTCTTAGATGAAAAATACCCGAACAACTTGTATATCAAAACAAAACTTTTATTAAATGAAATAGTCTCGAATTTTATCGATGATGCTTTTCCATCTTACAATCTTACATGTTGATGTCCTCTTTAACACCTTCCACATTTGCATACGTTTTCCCATTAAGATGGTAATCTGATGGTGCTCTATCCGGAGAATATGGTGGGTGGAGGAGAACTTCCCGACCCAACTCTTGTGTTGCGTCAAATGTGCCACATGTGGATGTGCATTGACGTGGAGAAGAAGAACACTTTTCCGATTGATGAGTGAAGGGCGTTTCTGATGAAGGGCTTAATTTAAATGTTCCAGTTGCTGACTTAGATCTCTGCATTGACAGTTCACTGTGGATTGAGGAATTTGAAATGAATTACTCCTTTGATGTCCCATCAAATGCAAAGCATCACTTTCTGCAGATGGAGTCCAGGTTTTGGGGTCATAAGTGGTTTTTGTCTAGGACTGAGCCATTGTTTTTGGCATTTAATATTTGCATAGAGGATCCATTTTTAATCACTGGTGACAATTCTGTCCAAAAATGGTTCACTATTAACTATTTTAACTATTATATGTGATGTATGTTTTTTGGGGATGGTTAATGAAAGTGTTCCAAAACGCAACATTAATTTTTTGATGACCTAATACTTTCATATAGTTACTTCTGTGTACATTTTGTGTACAATGTTGACTTTTTTCCAGTTCTGTAAAGCTTATCATTTATGTTTGAAAAGTAAATACATATCTGTTACCTTCAGCTAATTTAAGTGATATAAAATAAATATTTAACAAATATTATTCTAGAGAAACAAAGAAACAATAATTGTACCTTACCTTATTCTTTTTATAAGGTACAAGTAGAGAATTTCAAATTCAAATGATAAAAAACAATACAACCAAATACAAGACAAGCAATATGTATAGAGAGGTTTATCACAAAGGAAACAAAGCATCTAAAATAGTTAATATGAAGAATCTTTGCACATGTATATTTTGCCATTTTCAAAGTTTATTTGCTCAAATTCATAAACTGAAAGGCAAAATGGATGAAAGTTTTCTTTTCAAATGTTAAAGAAACAAATAACTATATTTTGATATTGTAACTAGCAACTCAAAGGGCATGGAAATAAGGAAGATAAGATTTGTAAAATTGTAAGGAAATTTTGCTTTAGAAACTTACTTCAAAAAGTACAAAATGTGATACTTTCATTTTGCTTGTGTGTGATTTAAGTTCAGAATAACTAGTACCATTAAACAATCTGCATAAAATTCAAGGATTTCTAGAATCATTTATTTAATCTTACAGTTAAATGCTTGTGAAATCTTGGCTCTGTACGTACTTTCAACATTTGCATGTTGTTGATGGATACTTTAAAGCCATAATCAAATTAAGCTACAATAGAGAATATGAAGAAAGCAGCAACAAAATTTTAGGAAAACTTTCAATTAACAAAGTCAGAGTGTTCAGTACTACCTCATGAAACATGAAAATAAGCCTTATAGTAGTTTAGACCACTGGTATTCACAAACACCTTTTCATTAACAGTTTGATATCACTAATAAATGTTAGTAATTATTTCAAGCATAGTAATAAATTTTAAATTTGAAACATGTAGAATTCAATACAGTTAAACTAATATTATCTTATAATGATTATTTTTATTTTCATCAGTAACTAATTGACATTCATGCACTAGTAATAAATATATAATATTTTAATGGCTTTATTTTTTGTTAGTAACATATGTTGAGAAACCTCCAGTTGCATAGCTTTTTTTTAAAAATTGCTAAAGTAAGATGTCTCGAGACCTAAGCAAAGTTTCTGGATGAAACCTTAAATTAATGCAAAATTTCATTTTGTCATTCAATAAAACTACAATAAAATGTTCACAGAGAGTTTAAAACTACAGAAACAAACAAAATAGATAGACAATAAGAAATTGAGTTTTGATATCTGAAGTTTGTAAAGATTTATTCACATGGAAGCTCTTTTCAAGGATAACTAAAGCATGCAGTTACCTGATATTTGCAACATTGAAAAGTTCACAGATCTAATATTTGAAAGGACAGATGAAGAAAATTGTAGCAAATGAAATGAAAGAGATAAAACTTGGTGTTGAGATTAAATGCACACACTTTATTGTTGGAAGAATGGATTACACACTGTCTGGTTGGAAAGAACTATTGCATTGTGGTAAATTCAAGTAGAAGAAATAACAATTTCAATAAAAGATGGAAATAAACTGTACTTAGTACTAAATTTAGAACTTGTGACTGTATTATTAATAAAAGAATAAGTATACAAGATAAACAGACTGAAAGTTAAACTTTTAATAACTAATAATTCTTAGCTCTCTAGAACAAGAAAAAAAGGTTCTTGATTGAAAATTTCAAATGTCTCATGATCCAGAACATTGGATCACTAATATCAGTTCCCATACCAAAGATTACATAGGATACAATACAACTATTCTATAAAAAGGTTACATCCGGGACCAAATCTGTCTACATAAAGTTAACACCGATAGTTGAATTACTACACAACCTCGATTAGACTTACCATGCTCTGAATTAGACCGTTAGAAAAATGTTTAAATTTTGTATGATATGAAGTATGTACTATAGGAGAGTGAGATGTATGGCTTTTGTGTAAGTAAAATATACAGGCATGAGTGGTGAAGTGGAGAAAAGTTAGTTTTTTAAATAACTATTTAATTTTCAATAGTTTTTCTTAATGATTTTGATCACTCTGAAATGTTTATTTTTTTAAAGAAATACTTATATTTAATTTGTCTACTTCTGCTTGTTTCAAGAGATTGTGTGATTTTTTTCTTCAACTGATTCTCAGGTTAGGTTCCAGCTTGTTTAGTTACACTTATTCATGGTCATCAAAGGACAAGCAACTATTAAAGTTAAGAAACTGTGTTTCTCATAAAATAACATATGATTCTTTTTTTTATAGATGGATGTCACACCTTCAGCACCAACAACTGAAAATCTTCCATTTGAACAGATTACTGGAAATTCTTTTGTTGATACCAATTGTATTAAAAATATAAATACCCCTTTATCACATTTTAACCGTTACTATCCAATTTGTGATGGAGTGAGCCCTGAGGTGGTCAAATATTGTCACAAAGGATCAAAAAACAGTCGTATTAATCAGGAAGTAACACCATTACCTGACTATGAGAAGATGACTAGATCAGAAATTCGTCGTGAGCTGAATAAAATTGGTGTTAAGTCATTGCCAAAGAAACAAGCTATAGCATTACTCTTTGATGTATATGAGCAGACTCACCCATGTTAGTACATTTTTTTATCACTACATATATGTGTGTGTATGATATAAAACAGTTTTATGGTTAGTATATCAATAAGGCTAACATATATACGTAAAACTTTGCTCAATTAACCAGAAATTAAAGAAATACATCAAGTATCGTGAAAAGATACAATGAGATAAATTACTCCAGTGATTAAAAATCATATTGCTATTTTAATTATAATGTTATAAAAACAGGGGTGTTTTGTAATAGTTTAACCCTCTTGCAATGGGTCGGTCAAAGTGTGCATGTCATGACATTTTACAGAGTTACATTCAACATTTGATTAAGCTATCTCATTATTACTGTATACAAATAAACTTGGCATCAGAACATAGTAAATGAATCAAATTTTAATATAATATAAGCTTTACGTTATTCATTTTATAAGGAAATAACTAAAATAAATCCTCAATATCCTCTAGTATGAGAATCATGATATTTGTTTTCTAGATATTCTCCCTTCTCTAATTTACTTACCACCCCTCTCTTGAGTATGGAATTTTAGTGTAAGTTACTCAGTATAGATAATACTAAGGTGAAGTTTATTTTTTATAGCCTTCAATTTTATTTGTTTACAGAGTCATAAATTAGAAAGTCAGACCCACTTGTCATGCCAAACTGTCACATCCTCTCTTTCACAAGTTGCCAATAATTCTCTCTGATCTTTTATACTATATCATTTATAATCAATAGAAAGGCAGAGCTTTAATCAGTCAAATTACATATAGTGCTATATTTTCTTCAGTGCAGAGTATTGTCAATTTTATCATCACTCTGAAAGTTTATCTCATGTTCAGGTTGAGCAGCAAAAGGAATTAATTTAAGTCCTTCTTGTCTTAGTTAAAAAGCCAGTTAAATTATAATAGTTGTAGGACATTGTTTGCTTTGGGTGTGTTTTTTTTTGTGTTCTTAGGTGCATTATTTATGTAAATAACAATTATTTAGAGTACTAGTATTAGCATTATAAAAAAAATAGTAGGCTTAAATTTCACTGGCAACTGAATAAGGTGCATTTACAAGCAGCTTATGCATTACGTCATTCAACATGGTAACATTAGTTATGTGTTCGCTGAATGATTTACAACTTGTGTGGGAGGATTATTAGTTAGACACAGTTCAAAGGGCAATAAAACTATAACATTAAGTATAAACAGATATACACTATTATGAACTTTAAGCTATTTAGGATAATCAAATGTAGTTTTTTTGCTACAATCTGCAGGCATTCTAGAAAGAGAAAAAGGGTAATTTAGATTTATTTAGTATATTTTTAGGTTGTTTACAAGGTTGGTCAAAGCGACTTAGTTAGTATAGAATTAGGGTAGAGAAAATACAAAGTTTTGCTGAAAAAATACATTTGATATTTATATTGGAGGTTTTTGATGTTACATAAGTGAAATTTGAAACTTTCCAGATGAAGAAAAGTAGTTTTAATCTTAACAAGAAAAACACTTTGCACTTGGAGCAGTCAACACTGATTCATTATATTCATGGACAAATCTTTAGTAAAAATAATTAATTAAATAATCTGATTTTTTTGTTTATAAAAGACTTGTAATGTGTACTAAAAGCTTGGAAACTCTATTGGTTACTTTATGGTTACAAGGTTAGTCACACTGACTGACCCTGTATGGAAAGAATTAACAGTGCTAGTGCTTTTGTTTTCTAATTTTTTTCATCATAGTGAATAATAATGTAGGTTTTTATGCTTACTGATAATTAGAAACAACCTGTTTTTTGGAATATTTTAAATTATTGCATCATATTCAGTTTTGTCTCCCCCCACCAATCCCCAATGGATGGACAGTAAATTTACATGGTAACATTAGTTATGTGTTCGCTGAATGATTTACAACTTGTGTGGGAGGATTATTAGTTAGACACAGTTCAAAGGGCAATAAAACTATAACATTAAGTATAAACAGATATACACTATTATGAACTTTAAGCTATTTAGGATAATCAAATGTAGTTTTTTTGCTACAATCTGCAGGCATTCTAGAAAGAGAAAAAGGGTAATTTAGATTTATTTAGTATATTTTTAGGTTGTTTACAAGGTTGGTCAAAGCGACTTAGTTAGTATAGAATTAGGGTAGAGAAAATACAAAGTTTTGCTGAAAAAATACATTTGATATTTATATTGGAGGTTTTTGATGTTACATAAGTGAAATTTGAAACTTTCCAGATGAAGAAAAGTAGTTTTAATCTTAACAAGAAAAACACTTTGCACTTGGAGCAGTCAACACTGATTCATTATATTCATGGACAAATCTTTAGTAAAAATAATTAATTAAATAATCTGATTTTTTGTTTATAAAAGACTTGTAATGTGTACTAAAAGCTTGGAAACTCTATTGGTTACTTTATGGTTACAAGGTTAGTCACACTGACTGACCCTGTATGGAAAGAATTAACAGTGCTAGTGCTTTTGTTTTCTAATTTTTTTCATCATAGTGAATAATAATGTAGGTTTTTATGCTTACTGATAATTAGAAACAACCTGTTTTTTGGAATATTTTAAATTATTGCATCATATTCAGTTTTGTCTCCCCCCACCAATCCCCAATGGATGGACAGTAAATTTACAGACTTACAGTGCAAATATCCAGTTTGATTCTGTGCAGTGGACAGAATGCAGAGAGCCCATTATGTGGCTTTTTCACTTAGAAAAACAACATATCCAGTTGTATTGTTCATGATTTGAAAATTCTCATTGTATTTTATATAGTTGGAGAGAATGAAAAGTTATGTGGATATTAATAGTAGGAGTTGAGAAATTGTGGGTGTAAGCACTCAACTCCTTACCGTTAACTGATTTTTCATGATTACTGGCTAGTATAACATCGGCATTTGGATTTTGTCTGGTAGATAGGATATCCCCAATGCATTTGGGGGCAATTACTGCAGACAATATCCATTATAACTTTACGGTGGTGAGTAGGATTTAAAATGGATTTTGCAAAGAACTTCTTAATGCTTATTATATATTCAGTTCAGTTAATGTAAGTAATAGTATTGAAGCTATATATATATAGACACACAAAAAATATGTATATACTTGTATGCAAATACATTGATATATAAAATGTTGTAGTAAAAAAAGCTGTATTGCTTGTTCGTTGCATTTGACTGATACTTTAGGTTAAATGCAGAGATTATTTTTTCAAAATTTGTTCTTTGAGTTTTTTTTAATTGATTGAAGAAATAGTATTGCTTTTGAATTTTTTTGTTACAGGGGAGACTGACAATGAAGAGGAACATGCCAAGAAAGACTTCTCTAACCAGATTGCAACACATGGAGAAAAGAAGAATATTGCTGACTGCAGAGTTTCATCTCTTAAGTAAGTTGCTTTAGTAGGCATTTATATTAAGCTTATTCAAACATGTTGGCAAATGGAATATTTATTTATGATTAAATATTGAACATACGCCTTTTTTTGTCCAGCAGCTTTTCATGTATTGCTGTAAAATTAGTAGTCAACATAAAATATATGTTAAAAATATTGATTCGTTAAAAATAATATAATTTTGTTTTAATTGAGAAGTAACTTAAACTTAAATTATTTTTTCACAAGTTAAAGATCTTTGTTTTGTTAAAAAAAACACTTTTGTCATTTGATACAAATATATAAATACTTGTATGATAGGTGTGTTTTAGTTTATATCACATACCTAAATATCTTTATCTTTTTTTTTTTACAAAAGTTTATTAATTCATATCAAATACAATGTAATTGAGGATTAACTATTTGATTTTGTTTTCATAGTTTATTTTTCCAAACAGAATAATGGTGATTTAACTATACATTAACATAACAGTTAAAGATGACAAAGGGCATGATGGTCCTTCAAGACTGTCCCATCCACTGTCAAAAACAAAAAACTCCATTTATATTGTTAATGAGCCTTTTCTTAGTCTTCTTTTAAAATTTACTGCACCAATTCCATTCCATTCCAAAGGCCTAACCAGTAACCTATATAATGAAATAACCTCTTTGCCCTCAGAACAAGGGGTAGATCAAAGTATGCATGTCACAACTTTTTACAGTGTTATGGCTGAAGACAAAACAGAAGCAATAGTGGAATTTTGGTAATGTTGTAAATATGTTTTTTATTCTTTCTGTGTACCATTTCATATTTTATGAACATCTGTGTTTTTGTATGGTTTAGTTGCAGTTGACAATAATGCTAAGTAACTCAAGAATTTTAAAATGCTTAATTAAGTTACCAATGAAATCTTGTTCTTGGGACATTCAAAACCTGTCAGAATATTACTAAAATGAAACTCAATCTGAATGAGTCGGTTGTTGGAAAAACTAAAACCAGAGCAGCCGTTCTCTTTCTGACACACACACACACCTGAGTTCAGGCTGCTTCAAAATATATTTTTCCTTTTTTGAAAATTATAACAACTACAACTTTAAGAAAACCAGTTATTTAAATTAGGTTGTACTGAGCACTAGTTGTCAATCATAGGGTTTCAACAGCAGTTCAATTAAAAGTGTGAATGTTTGATAAAGAAGTAAATAAAAGTGTGAAATTAGATAAAAGTATTCTCATGGAATTGAAAAAAAAAAAGTCATAGAATAAAACTTTTTTTTTTGCAGTCTGCATTGTCAACTAAAAAATGATTCATAATTATTTTCTTTGTGGGCCAGTTTATACAGAAATTTGTTTAAATCAAGGTTTAAATTGACACATAACTCATTCTACGTGTACATGTTTTACTGGTATCGTTAATAAGAGTGTGCAACATACAAATCAGTATTTGTATTAAGGAAGGTACTTCAGCTGGTTTTTGTTCTCAGAAATAATTTGTGAGCTGTTTTGAATGCAACATTTAACTAGTATAACTGAATTTGCATGTATGTGACTGAAACAGAGGTAAATTATTTGTTTTATGAATTTTATTTTTTAACAATCATACTTACTGCTTTCATTTCAATCCATTAATACAGACATAATACAGAGAAGCGTTCATGTCCCGCAGAATACAACTCTCAAGTGTTGACTGAAACACAGCAAAATGAGCACTCGTGTTGGCAAAATAATTTACTCAAATATTTCAGAGAAAACACTACCCTTCTTGAAAAGCTTCTTATGTATCAGGTAAATTGTCATATATATATTTATACTTATGATGTATACATATGGAGACATAGAATTATCATTATAAACTACCTCTGAAGCTCTGTATTATTGAATAGGTTTTTTTGATTTATTCAGTAAAAAGAAAAATGCAGATTCAAGCCCACTTAATGGGAAAAGAAATTAGTTCTTGAACTTCAATTTCTATAAGTTAGCTTTACTAGTTTGTACTGATATATATATATATATATATATAAGTTCACAGTAGATACCAATGCAACAATTTCACTTATTTCCTGACTTTTCACATGTACATATGGTACTTCTAGGATCTCTAGTCTCTAGTAGTTCATTAAAACACAAACTCAGTATTAGTAAAACTGAATACTCTTACTGCCTGACAGTAAAAGACCAACTGACTAACAGATTTGCTAACATAATAACTAGTCATTTCAAGCCTATCCCAAATTTTTATGTAGCTCAAAACATTTCCTAATTTTTCTAGAAGGTTTTACTCATTAAACCACACACACACATCACATGATGTCAACAATAATGCAGGTGTCTTAGTTAAAAAAATATATTCTAGAACAATATTTTCACTATCTAAGAAAACAGATTTTACACTCCCAAAGTATGTATTTATTTTCTACAAAGATCTTAAATTTTTGTGTAAGTTCTAATTGTGAAACACACGATATCAGGTTGCAGTTATATGTAAAATTGATTGCCAAGGAACTTATCTACTGTTTCATGGGAGAGTTACATTATGTTATTCTTGTATCTTGGGAACACCTTGCAACTGTTTCATGGAGCAGAGATACTTCATATTTCAGTGACCATTTTTTTTCTGGTTGGTCAGCTGCAGAGAGAATTTGTGTTGTGCATACAGTTTTAGCATTTTCATATTCACTATAACTTTTGAGAAATTCTGTTTTGAGAGTCAAGGCATGCTGTGGAAGTCTAATCTTTGTATCTTCGTACTTCTAATTGTGATAACTTACAACTAGATACTGTGCCACTAATTTCTCCCTTTTTTTTTAATTTTGTGTAAATTTACTATAGTCTTACCACTAGATGATCAGCTGCCATTATCATATCATGTGCAGTAGATAAAGAATTTCATTTAATTTTTACTTTAACATCATGTCTTGTCTCTTTCATCCACCTTAACAAATCACTACATCTGGTCTTTTGCATATTAGGTCCATGAATCTCATGTTTTTTTTGTGGGCATTAAGTGACTGTGAGTTAAGTATTTCTTTGAATTACTGCAGTAGGACATTTTTTTTTTATAAAATAATATTTTGAAATATCACACACAGAAGCAGGATTAACTTAGACCATTCAGTAAATTGTAGAAATGACTCAGATAAACTCAGTGAATTAATTACACAGAATTGCAGTAACCACTGTTGAGCCCACAAATGCTAATATTCCCTTTTCCAGAAATAAGAAATATGTTTCTTTAATTGTATTCCAGTTTTTCTGAAAGATATTATAATAGATTTGTTAAGATAAAACTTGTTGTCCATAGGCTGTACTGGAGATTATTTAGGCCTGTTTGTACTGATAAATACAATTTATAATTGAGAAGAGCATTTGTCTCCTTGTCAGTGAATATTTTATGGTTTATGGATTATTCTTGTAGTAAATTTAAATGTATTTGATGAGTTCATGAGTTAATATCACTGGATATATCATAAAAGGATAAAACTTCACACAACTTACACATGTACCCAGTTTGTGACTAATTTACCGACTTTTCTTGTGTTTTCCAGTTACCAGTCTTATCCATGTTGTTTTGTTCTTTCCATTTTTCCCATTTTCCCTGCCATGCTTCACTTCCTTATTTGCACCTCTTTGCTCTTCCCCATCCTCCATTGGAACTTTTGTTTTCATGTTTTTTTAAATCCCATTCCTTCAAGTCCCTGTTCCTGCTCTTGTTGGCATGCAAATATTGTTGTTCTGATGAGTTCACAATTGATATTTGCTATGTTTTTGTTTTCTTAGTTCCTAAGTTCCCCTTTTTCCTGATCATTCCTTTATGCCCACAACGTTGGCTGCTTGAGAAGGTACTTCTTCCTTCTTGTTACCCTTTTCTCTTCCCTCTTTTTCCCACACTTATGACTGTTCCAATCCTGCCCAACTCCTTTGCCTGTTCAGAGTTCTCCAATGTTATATGACATGTACTGCTCCCTTTCATGGATCCTGAGTCATTTATTTCTTCTGTGAATTCTTCACCTCCACCATGATTTTTTTCCTTTACTTAGTCTTAAATCTACACTGCTAGATGACTGTGATGTTGAGGCTCTTCCTATCTTTGACCTGATGTGCAATTCCAGATGCCACCTGGTGTTGGTTGATTGACTCCAACCACGTGATCGCTCTGCTTTTTAAAATAGGATATAATGGTCACCCATTGCACTGTCTCTGATGCTGTGGTCCCCTAGACTATCCAATGCATTTTTTCCTCCTTCTTTTAGTGGAGTAGGGAGTCCTTGCCACTTATCAGTTCCTAGCCGATAGGGTGGTTGACCAAGGAGGCCTGTCCTTCAGAGTGTGCACAATACCACTCAGTTAAGAGCAGGGTGGTAACATTATGTTGGTGTAGATGGTGTGATTCCCTTCCTACCACAGACCTGATGTATATTTCCAGATGCTGTCAGGTGTTTTTGATGTAGCACTCTGATATATTGCAGTTTTCCCCATCTGGCTGAGGCCCCCTCTTTTCTACCATCTGCTGGATTTTGATTCCCGGGACCAGGTGTTAGTTGGAGCCAGACCATCCACATAAGTCCTCTTCCTACTACAGACTGGGCAACAAATTCCCAATGCTGCCAGGTTTTGGACTGGAGATGCTACCCCAAATAGCTGTTCCTCTTCCTACAATTTGCTAGATGTTGGTTCCCGATGGATCTGGTGTTGGTTGTAGCTGGACAAGACACATGCATTCATGCATGTGTAAGGCTGGGTACCCTCCTCCTACTGTAGAATGGACAAAAATTCCCAATGTGCAAGGTTTGAGACTGGAGAGAAATACCCACCTGAGCTCTCCACCTTCTTACCATGCCAGATATCAGTTCCGATGGATATTGTGTTGTTTATGTTGGAGGTGTGCACATGCAGGGTATGGAAGCTCCTCTTCCCTGCCAGTAACCATTTTTGAGGTGAAATGTAGAGGACCCTTTTCTTACTGTGGACCTGATGTACAATTACAAATGCTTCCAGCTGCTGGTTGAGATCAAACTCCCATTTACAGTCTGTTGTGCTCTAACCACTCTATACCAGGGGGTCCCATTAGTTCTGTAATTTTTCTTTGAGTCCCTCCATGTTTTCGCCCCATTTGACAACACATTAATAAAGGGTGAAAGGTATACCTGCTTCAGAAGTGGTATGGTCTCCTATGAATGTGTTGTTTTAAATTCCCTCTCACACCCTATGGTTTTCTTTGGGCACTTCTTAAAGGGGAACATCTTCTCACCTGCCCTCCACCAATTAAATGTGGGATTCTAGCTTTTCGTGAGTAGAAGTAAGATATCGTATTAAAAGTTAACATTTTCCTAAACTGAAAATGTATTTCTGATAGATACTTACCTCCTCTCACATATCCCACCTGTCCCTCCACTTTTGGTTTGGTTTATATGATCAATCTTGAAGTGGTTAAGAGCTGCAAAATTAGAGAGGATGCTAGTTACAATACTGGGAATGTTGCACTTCTATTGGTGGATGATTGCTGCATAATCAGTTGCATGTTAGTGTGCAGAAATAAGTGGGAGTATCAAGGCTAGTGATGAGCAAATATTTGCACTGAGAGAGGGCAGTATAAGTTGAGAAAGCTTTTGTGAGAAGATGTAAGTATCTATCAGACATGTATTTTCAGTTTGGAAAAAATGTTAACTTTGAGCCATTTGTACCAAAAATTGTACTTCAGAAGAAAATACACATTCATATCTTTATCCAGTTGACTGCATTGCCTTTACAATAGATGCTGTTTTTTTTTTTCTTCTTACATATGCATGTATGTGTTTATAAAAGACTTATCAGAAAATTAGATATAATACAACAGGAAAAATTAACCTTTATACTTTTTTTTTATTAGTATGTTTGTGAAATTATGAATGTATATTTACTTTGAATATTTTAGTTTTATGTACAGTGTTGTCTTTTTTCCAAAAGTTCTAGTGTTTGCATTCAGTTAATGTCTCTTCAGGTGTAAGTACTTAACAATTTCCTTTCATCAGGTCGATATTTTAATGTTTTATTTACTTTTTATGCACATGAAAACTAAGATAACTTGCAAATTACCATTAAAAACCTATTTCCCTGTATTTTTTCATCATCACTCAGCCAATTAACCTGACTGAACTTTTAAATGACATACGAAGCCAGAAGATCAAGATATCCTCAAGAAACCTGATAAACTTTTTGGATGAGAAGGTATGCGTACGAAGTTGTGAGAGCTACATTTTCATATTCTTGTAATGAAATATCTATTTATTTTGGAATAATATGGATATTATAAAGTAAGTATTTTTGTGCCCTTGTATGATGGGTGACTTTATAATGTGATATTATAGTGAATTAAATAATCCACCTTATACTGGAATGAAATATGCTTGCTCTTACATATGCAGTATTTATTTTATTTTCTCTCAGAATTTTTATATAACTTCATGTGTTCTATAAAATATCAGAATATTTTTTTTTTATAAAACTCGTTTATTCTTCTTCTAACCAATCAAATGTCATAAGATGATAAAAGAGCAGTCAAAGGTAAAGATGTTATCAAAATCAACTGAATGTAGTTTTATTTAAAAAGAAATATGAAAACATCTGAAAAGAATGGTTAAGTTACCTACATAGGTATAAAAAACAATACCTTCCTCTAGTGCCACTTTAAAATTATATATACAATCTATTGTAAACTCTGCATTTTTGAAAATGTGGCTTGCACAGTAGTTCATTTTATTTTACATTATGAGTTAGTTTTGTTTTCTGTTTATATTATAAACTATAAATGGAAACTATTGTAATTTTATTTTACTTGTTATGTCATGGAAATCTAGTCACTGTGCTTTTTATTTATAGAATAATTTGGGCTAGAAAAATACTAAATTTTTAAGACTCTCTTCACACTGCACATTTGTAAAACATGATTTGTTTCCATGTGCAAAATATATTGGTCATGTGATGTTGCTTAGCTCTATCATGCCTGGATGGGCTTATTCTGCCTCGGGGGCAAAATTGCATCATTGAATTAAAAATATTATAAAAAATGAACTTGTATTTGTTCTTTCACATACTAGAAAAATACTTTAGAATTGAAACTTATACTGTAAAAAAAGTTTTATTTATTTAATTTTATACATAAAAAACTTTTTAATTGCAAAGTTTGATTTGGGGTTGATTTTAGTGAGCTTCAAACAAAATCATTAGAGTTTCTTAATTTCCTGACTTTTTTTTCTGAGCATAATATGACACTCTTAGCCTTCTAGGATGAAGATCATAATAATTTTGAAGAAAATAGTACCAATTTCATCCTGTTACTTGAATATGAGTATAATTTTTCTTTTAGCCAATCACTGTTTCTCAACCTCATTTGTCATGGTGAGATATAATTGTCTGTATCTCATCTTTGAGAAGCCATTAGCTAGTGATTTATACAAGTAATAAAAGCTTTTTTTCTGTTCTATTTGACTCAATAAGTCAATATGGCTTCCAGTTCAGTTGAGATTTGTGTAGAGTGATAAAGTGATAAAAGCTTAGCTTAGTGATATGTTGGAAAAGCTCTTTGTGAACAACTTTCACCACAATTAGAGTTGTGAATTTTTTTTTGAAGCCTGCAAAAATCTTGCTTTATCATGTTTTACTTCATTTGAATGATAATACTGCAGTATGATGAGAAAAAAAAGTATTTTTTGTGAAACAAAATGAGTTAGGTTTGGTTAAATCATTTTACTGAAAAGGCTTTGTTTATATTAGGTCTTATTGACTTAAATAGCTGCTTGGAAGGGCAAAAAAAACTAAAAAAAGAAATAAATTAATGATTGCAAAATGAATATAAAATAGGTTTAAAATTTATTACATATATTAAGTGAAATATCCTGATTAACAATTTTAAAAAAGTTAGCTTCTTTATAATTTTAGTATGGTAAAATAGTTATTTTGATTGCACACCAGTGATTGTAAACACAATGAAACTACATGTTGTGTTTTTCAAAGTAGAACAGAAATACAGTTTATAAAAATATTTATTATTTAAAAAACTTTGTAGGAAGGTAGGAAGATACAAAAAACAATCATTAACATATGCATTTCTTCAAAAAAAAACTTTGACAAAATCATTTTGAAATTTCAAAGCTGTAAATTCAAACAAATATCACATAAAATATATTCATGATGTTAAAAACATGTAGGTTTAAGAAGTCTTAATACAAAATCATTAAAACCCTATAAACCGAACACTTTCGAAAGGTGGACCTTTCTTATTCAGGGGCAAACTGGGATATTTTATGTGCAGAAGTTACATGAGGCACAGAAAATTTTTCTAATGTTTCAAACTGTTTCATTTTATAGCTTGTTTGTTTTTTTCAGTGCTGTATAACAAACCTAAAACAGGTGCATTAAACTGACCCACCCAGGTTTGATGTTGTTAAGCCCTAGAAATGGAAGGATGTACTCATATGATGGTTAGTCTGCAAGTCAATGGGTAAAAGGCAGAGATCTCTGATTTTTAAAGATGTATGATAGTTAATGCCTGTTTATCAGGAACATCATTATGTTAGTTTTCTTGACCAGTTACTCAATGACAGCTGTTTTTAAGAGTATTAACATTGGAAATATACCAGAGAAAATTACCACCAACTGCTGGTAACTAAGTGATGAAAAAATTAAATGGACAGGTTTTTAAACTGTAATAAACTTGTCATACTGGGTCTTAATAAACCCTATGTGCCTGGACATCATTTACTGTGTATTTCATGAGGTTTTAATGACTTACATTCAAAATTTTATTAAACGACTTTTTATTTTTGTTATACCAATTAGTATAGCATAAAATCTTATGTAATAATTCATACTTACTGAATAATTTGCTGAAAAAAATACTTTATATCTATACATTTCAAACCTAAATTTTCACCGTGCAATGCCAGGTAACTCAGCTAGTAATTCATATTTTAACAGTATATAACTTTTAAGTTCTTAATTTTATTAGGCAATACTTAAAAAAATCCTGAATTTCCCCAGGTGTGACACATTTTCTCTAGGCATCTCCTATTCTCTACTTTATTCACCACCCCTCCAATAAGTACGAAATTCAACATATTGTATAGTACTTTCTATAAAATTGTCATTGCTTAAACAAACCATAATTTTTATAGCCTTCAATTTTGTTTCATTATAGAGCCATCAAATAGAAAATCATACCCCTCTTGCCACACCCACCTGTCACATCCTCTCTTTCAGGATTTGTTAATAGTTCTCTCTTACATTTAATTCTATATTATCTATAACCGATACAAAGCCAAGGTTTTAATCTTTTAAATGATATATTATGTTGTATTCTGAACAGAATTGTCAGTTTCTCTGTTAGTACAAGCTTTGTTCCTACAGGAAAAATAACAACTAGCTTGAATGAATTTGTAACGGTTCTTGTTGCATAGTTAGAAAGCCAGATAAATTGTGATAGTTATGGGAAATTGTCTGCATGTTGCATGTTATTATTCTATGTTATTTGGTGAATTATTTAATTAAATAAAAATTATTTTGTGCATTGCTACCACAAGTATAAAAAAGTAGGATTAAGTGTCATTGACAATTGACAGCAAAAAAAAGAACACTTGGGTAAGTACTTTATTTCCTTTTTTAATGTTTGTTCTTTATTTATTATTATAAAAGTTACTAAAATGTAAAAATAGGGATCTCTTTAGGTTAGTTAAGATTAGATTAGGTAAAATAGATAATAGTATAATAAAAATGTTTCATGAGGCATGCATGCAAGCAGCTCATGGGCAATGTAATTTGATAGAGTAACATGAGCTGCATGTTCCACAAATGATTTACAACTTATAATGGTACGTATAGTAGTTAGACAGGTTCAAAGGGTAATAAAACAATAAAATTTAGTGATAAATAGGTGTATACTGTTACGAGTTTAAAGTTACTTAGGATAAATGAATGTAGTTTCATGTTACACTTTGAAGTCATCCTAGAAATAAATAAAATGTAATTTAGATTTATTTCGATTTAGGAAATGTATTTAGGAGGTTTTAGAGATTACACAAGTGAAATTTGAGATTTTTGAAATTAAGAAAAGTATTTTTAACCCTAACATGAAAATCACTTCGTACACAGACTATTCAAAACAAATACTCGATATATTCACGTACAAATCTATTTTGGTTTATTTAAAATACTTTGCTAAAAATATGACTTTTTGCATGTGAAAGACTTATAATGTTTACTGAAAGACTGCCAAATTTTGTGAAGATATACATACTATATTAAAAGTTAGTAGTATCAAATCTATAAAGACTTTAAACGAGTAAAAAAAGTCACGTGGTCCTTCAAATCAACTCAGCCTGAGTGAAAATTTCATGATTTTTTAATTTTTTTTACAACAAGATAGTTAAAAGCAATTATTTTGAAAGTTATAGTTATGAGAAGTTTGGTAATGTAATTCGGTAAGAATCGTATGTTGTGTTTATAATTCATTGATGTCGAGGCTATCGAATATTGCATGCAATCCATTGATGTCAAAGATATATAGATTTCTAGAAGGCCTAAGTGATAAACGTATAAATAGCAGCAAGCAGACGAAAAAAAGAGCAAAGAAAGTAAAGTCATGGGAAGGAGAAGTTTGATCAGAGAAAAGTTAAATGTAACATTAATAGTTATGGGAGTGAAAGGCTTAACAGTTGATATGTTATAGTGAGATTAACAGTTTTGTAAAAGACAAGGAGAATAAGTTGTCTCATCAAAGAGTGTTCTAAAGTAATTGAAACAGCCTGAGTGGACTTTGGCAAAAGGCAGACAATTCCTGGAAATATGAAAAAGGAGCAGACGATTTTTAAAGTACAGGATATAACCACAGTAACTCAATGACAGCATAAGTGAACTATAGACGGATAGCATGACAATAGAAATAGAGAAAAATAGTTTGGCTTGTCAACTGAATTCTAAAGCAATTGAAAAGGCCTAAGTGGACTTTTGACAAGAAGTAGAGAACTATATAGTTTTTAAGATATAACTATGACCTACATAGTGTCAGGAATTTTTGTACCTACACTTAACCTGTTCTGAATATATATATATATATTATTTTGAAAATAAGTGGAGTGTGTGCTGTTCAATTTATTTTTTTGAATTTATTGCCAACAAGTCGCAGACACTTATAGTAGAAGAATCCTCAGCCCAACACACCTATATTAACTCACATTACTATATATTTCTACTAAACAAAGTACACATGTTGATAGTTCACACTATGATTCTTTGTTATACAACGAATCAGAAAGTGCAACACCAGTATAAAGCTTTAAAAGTATAATGCAGTCATATTATGCCCAGTAGTAGTAGTAGTGTGAATCCAGTCATGGCTCCCAGGACTGAAATATCACATGAGAAATGTACAGAGATCAAGTTTTGGCTGGCAAAGGATATCCTATGTGAAAATATATGTAGCAAGACCAAGTTTTTAAGAAATAGGTGTCTGCAAGAATGAACTTGGCACTGTTAATAATTGGAATGGATGAGGTTGAAAATCAAAAGTCTTTAAAAGTGATGTCAAGTATCTCAGGAAATGTCTCTCTGAATTAGATGATTGATAACTACAGATCTTGCCATTGACCTTCTTTGAATACAGGTGTGAGTTTTATGCCAGGATATGAATTGTATGAAGTAATCTCAATGGGTGTTTAGCTGCTCAAAATCACTGTTCAAAAGAGACAACTAAAACAAAAGATTGAAATGATCATCAAACCACAAATAGCAGAATGAGCAAAGCTTTAAAAAGTGAACCCAAGTTCAAATTATTTGGCAGTATCAGTGACTATTTAATGGCAGATAGGTGAATGATGTCATAGCCAATGTACAATAACCAGAATGAACCAGAGTTGGGGGATCAATATCAATTTGAGGTTACACCTCAGACAACAGTATTGGTGATATACCCAAAAATGATGGAACCCTGACTGCTTCAAGTACAAGTGGATCACTATTCATCATGCCATTCCCTTAAGGTGGGAATTCATCTTCCAGCAAAACAATGACCCCAAACATACTGCAAATGTGTAACTGTGTAACAACATACTTTTATATAGAGAAATTGTACGACAACATGAAAACAAGGTGTAATGCTTTGTGTAAAGGAAAGGGCTCATTACAAAATACTATTACATATTACATCTTTTTTTTTGTATTTTTCATAATAATGTTTTGTTCTATTAATAAGTTTATCATATAGTTACCATGTCTGTAATTCCTGTATGTGTTATACTTGCGTGTTTCATTCCAATCATTATTTTCATAACTGTATATGTTCTACAGAGCCCAAACTGATATGTGGTGAAGATTATAATCAAATAGCCAATCAGGGTATACTACAGTACAAATGAACAGTTTGAATAGACCTAAAAAGATTTAGTGATGCTGTAAATACCATCCTTACACTCTTGTTTGAATTGTTTTTGAAGGATTAATATTAGCCTTCCCTACATATACTTCCTTTTTGAAAAGTT